CAGGAATGCTGTCTCCAGTATAACCTCAAGGCTCTTACCAGAGTCAGCAAGGGTCAGTTGAGCCTCATCAAAAGGGGGGGAACATAATGTCCTTCAAGACTTCCACCTTCACAACCAGCATTACCTCTGTCTTTCCCAACTATAGTTTCAATTTATTCACTCTTAGCCATTTAGCCACAGCAGCCAGGTAGCAATTCAGGAATCTACTGCATCACCAGATTTGGATAAGAATATATATATATAGCTGAGTAACATGTGAATATCAAAGAGTATCGTCTGCATATCAATGAAAGCCAAACCCAGGCTGGTAAAGCTCTGGGAGAAGGAGGGTCTGGGTGCACCAGAGTGGAGACTGAGAAAGAGGCAGCGCAGGGCATCTTTTCTTGGAATTCTGAGAACATGAGGGTATGCACACAGACCTCTTCTCTGGGATGGCAGCCATTGACCATGTGCTCGCCTACAGAAGGAGAGGTCTTCAAGGTAATAGAAACTTTGTAGGGCTTTGTAACTTCCTAAGCTTAAGGAGCCTGTCCTATTTTAACATCAGATAGGGCATGTATTGTGAGAGTGACAGAGGATTTGCATTTGTGAACAAATTCTTTTGTATTTCATGCTCAATCTGGTGCTGTGATAAAAGTCTATTTGTAAACATTTTCTTTTTAATAAATACTTCATAACTTTGGATGCTGGCTGTGGTTCTCTGTATCACATAGACCCCCACTATCTTAGAAATGCTACTTTAAGAGGAGAGCCAAAAGGGGAGGAGGGCAGTTAGTTAGCAAGTGGCTGTTCCTCCAGGGACACACAAGGCAGCAGTCTGTCCTCATGGGGACCAGGCACTGGACAGCAGGAGACAGAGGCAAGGCCTCAGATCTTGGAAAGGAAGCTGGGAGTTCTGTCCCTCCCAAAGGACAATTCCTTGCTAAAAGGTGGTGTCGGGCTACCCTGAGAGTGGGAGAAATGACCCTCCAGGGACTTGGGAACCTCTAGGAGGACAGGATGGAATAATGCTTGTTCTGCCACAATGATTTGGCCTAAGGGCTTCACATAGAAATTGAAGAGTATGAGAGAGAGGACTATACCCTGTGGGAATTCCGCAGGGTAGTATATTATGGGTCTGCTGAGTTTAGAGAGCACAGGTATGCAATAGAGAGATGCAGCTGCATTGGCATCCCATTTGGTCTCAGATATTTCTTCATACAGCTCCCTGTTTTCTGTGTCCAGCTTCTATTCCAAGAATGTCACAGAGGAAGGACACAGATGGTGAGATAATATGAAATGCCACATGACTTGGCTTTACAATATCTGAGGCTCACTGTATTCAACCAGGTGTCCAAAGTCAAATGTATCATGTGAATTAAGTTTTCTGTAAAATAGCTTGCTTCTTCCTTTATTTTGGAAGCAGCAAAATGGCACAGAGCCAATGGCACCAGTTTGAATTCGAGCAATTAACTGCAGCAAATTTCTGGGATCTGAGTGCAAAATCAGTACTGCACTAACAGACTGCCTTCCGGGGTGCATATAAATCCATCAGTTCCTCATAAAAGGGGCAGAGGTAATGAAATCAAGGGTGCGGTTAGACAGTTGGAGCCATAGCAAAAAAAAAAATCAGATAAGGAACACTGAGCAAGGCAGTGCATGGCTTGAGAGTACAGGAAGCCCAGCCCATTTATCATCTCTTGAATGAGTAATAAGTCAAACTGGCATATGCAGCAGATGCACACTATTCCTTACACCTCTCTCTAAAAAAAGGTAAAGGTTCCCTTGCTCGAAAGCCAGTCAAATCCGACTCTAGGGTTGCGGTGCTCATCACCGTTTCAAAGCTGAAGAGCCAGCGCTGTCCGAAGATGTTTCCGTGGTCATGTGGCTGGCATGACTAAACACCAAGGCGCATGGAACACTGTTACCTTCCCACCAAAGTGGTACCTATTTATCTACTTGCAATTTCTTGCTTTCGAACTGCTAGGTTGGCAGGAGCTGGAACTAGAGATGGGAGCTCACAAAAACTCCCCCTCAGACTTCAATAAGGACAGTTACCAAACCAATGACCCTATGGTGAAGGAATGGGAATGTACCCTTGCTCCCACCATGTCCCTAAAGAAAAGAAGAAGACACTGTATAGAGGCTTTATCGGCACAATTTCTTTCTCTCTTCCTCCCCCAAAAGTGAGGACAAGATCATATAAACTGGGACTCTGCAGCCTGCTTTATTCTTTCTTTTTTTTTAAAAAATGGAAGAGAGTTTATAACATTCAGGATTGCCAACTTTTTCCCCCTGGCAGGATTTCTGCACCTTTCAAATCTGTGCATTCTGCAACTAAACCATGGACAGACCAAACTGGCTATAATCAACATAACTAATTCTCAAGATGGCCCCCTTCATGGACACTTAAATCCAGAGACTGAAGCCATGGACAGACAAGACAGATCTTTCTGCAAAGTTGAGGAAAAACCCAGGTTTACAGAAAACTATGAAATCTAAATATATATAGTTATTTATTGGGGGGTTAAACACCCTCACAACAATTGAAATAGCAATGAAGAAGGGGACAGCAAAGGATGAGATGGTTAGACAGTGTTATCGAGGCAACGAACATGAAATTAAGCGAACTCCGGAGCACAACGGAAGACAGGAGGGCCTGGTGTGATGTGGCCCATGGGGTCGTGAAGAGTCGGACTCAACTGTGTGACTGAACAACAATACAACAACTAATTACCTAAAACAGATGTTAGGCTAATTGGCCTGTAATTTTCTGGTTCCACACTGGACTCCTTTTTATTTGCAGTAAAAGTTTTTATGTGTAAGCACACTTCCTCAGATCTGTTCCACTGTTTCTGAGGAAGTGTGCTTGCACACGAAAGCTTATACCATGAATAAAACATTGTTGGTCTTAAAAGTGCCACTAGCCTCAAACTTTGTTCTTCTATTCCTGTCATTCAAGGCTGGTTATATGCTCCTGATATCTTTGAAGAAATGTGTGTTGTTAGTCTTAATTTTTTTTGCTAACTACTCCTCAATTTTAATTTTTGCTTGCTTGCCTTGTTGTCAACTTACATTTGTTATGCCAGAACTTGTGCTCCTTTCTGTTCACCTCAATCAGGGAAATCTTCAACTTTTTAAAAGAAGCCTTTTTGCCTTTTATGACTTCCTCGCCTTGAGTTATTAGCCATGCAGGCATCTTTTTAGACTTTCAGAAGAAAGTTAAAACAGAGAAGAGAGCCAGATCCCTCCAGGATGCCCTGGAAACTATTTAAAACTACGCTGATCAAGGCCCAGAAAGAATACATACCTCATTTTAGCAAAGTTCCCTCATTGGAAATCAAATACAATCACATAAAAGAGCTAAAACCTCTGGAAGCCATAAAAGATCTATAGTTATGCGCAGGGGTTTTTTTGTAGAAAAAGCCCAGCAGGAACTCATTAGCATATTAGGCCACACCCCTGACAGCGCAGCTCATTAGCATATTAGGCCACACCCCTGACAGCACAGCTCATTAGCATATTATCACATGTTCCCAGAAAGGTGGTCATCCAACCACACCCTCCTTTTGCTTCTTATTCTGTTTACTTTGTTGTCAAAACCCTGGGCTTTTTTTGTAGCAGGAACTTCTTTGCATGTTAGGCCACACACCCCTAATGTAGCCAATCCTAATGAGTGTCTCCTGTTATGTGTGGCCTATTATGCTAATGAGTTCCTGCTGGCCAACTCAGGAGCCAGCCGGAACTCTGTTCCTGTGCGTTCCTGCCCAAAAATAGCCCTGGTTATGCGAATGAGCCTGCCAACTTCTTTCCTGTATGCACATCATACAGTCACATAAACCACAAACCACATAATCCAAAAAAGTCCACAAGCACAAGCCCTCCTGGGGCAATAACAGTCCATAGGGAAAATACTGTCCAGTATACCCCAACAGTAGCGTACGTTATCTTAGACCATTTCGAAGACAATCCTTCATCAAAGGGTATCATGAGTCAAGGTAGGTGCCTGTGGATGAAAATACAAAAAACCAAAGAAACTACCAACTCCTTGCAAAGAATATTTTTAAATCATGCAGATACATTAAGAATCAATAGACTATACTTACAATGATCATTCACAAATCAAAATACTG